TGGGTGGGCAGCCGATGCCTTATCAACAGGTTCTGCTGGGGAAAAGCTGTTCCCGAGACCAAGAGGGGTGGGGGAAGGGGGAAGATCAGCATCTGTCTGAGGGGAGGGAAGTGGCCAGGAGAAGGGTTAATGACTGCACGGCTTCCTCTCTGCACTGCTGAGGGGGAGCTCAGAGCCTTTGATCCCGATCAGCAGACAACGGGGAAGCTCGGTGTGAAGGCACAGCCCCAGGTGTGGCCATGCTTTCCGCAGCCACAGGAAGCTCCTGAGCCAACTGCCCCACATGAGGGAAGCTGGGACCAAATCCTGCTCCAAGGCTGCCAGGGCCTGTCCAAGGCAGGCAGGGTGCAGTCCAGCCCACGGGGACGGCTACTCACAGCCAGATCCAGCATGTCCATCGTCACCGCCTCCTCTGCCAGCACCTGCACTGTGGAGTCCGCGTGGACAGTGACGGAGCCGCTGCTCACTGCAAAGGCACAGCAGCGGGGGCTGAGTCAGGCAGCGCAGGCAGGGCTGCCAGATGGGCCTCTTCTGGGGGTCAGCACACACTGGCAAGCTCATCCCTGGAACCTCCACCATGCCTTTGCCAAAACAAAACTTCGACGCCTTCCTGTAACATTTCCCAGGTCCCACAGGGACTCGTTTCCTACCAAAAGGGAAGCTGAAGCTGAGGATGCTCCCAGAGTCTGAGCAGAACCGAGAAAACCTGACCCCAGACCACAGCCTCACACAGAGCCCTAGCCCTGCAAGGCCACCACCAGCAGCCCTGGGGAGGCTGGGAAAGCAGAAATCCCTGGAAGTGTACCAGGGCACACCTTGATCAGCAGAGCCTCCCTTGTGAAAGCCCCAAGAACAACCCCCCACGCACACTTTCCTCCCTCCCCAGCTCCACCTGCTTTACTTACCGAAGTACTTGGTGGCTGTGCCATCCTCAGCATAAACCGTCACGACTCCGGGTTTGAGGACCTGCAGGGTGGGGACGTGAGAGGCCAGGATACCGAAGGAGCCGGTCAGCGTGGGCACATCCACCTGCTTCACGTTGGCGCCATTGTAAAACACCTGGACAGGGAGGGCAGAACAGATGGGAACAGTCCCCTGAGGGAGCAGCCCTGCTCCCAGTGGCTGGCAGGCCGTGGGGTTTAACACACGGCAAGGTGTGATCGGGACAGCCTAAACCTCCACAGGGTGGGAGCGGGGCCAGGCTCTGGAGGAGGGGTCCTGGCAAACAGAGTGGGAAAGCGCTCCGAGCCTCCTGAGAGGCGCGCTGGTGGCAGTGGCAGGGAGGCGGCACGCGGAGACATGAAGTCAGGAGTGGGCGAGAGGTGAAGGGTGCAGCTGGGAGAAGCCTGAGAGGAGCGTAGGGAGACCTTGACGCCAACCGTCAC